AGGGTTATGGTTTCTGCGCTGATGACAACTCATTTATTTACTTTATATCTTCAAGACTTAAATCCTCTTATGCACATCACTGCCTGTTACTGTATTTGGGTGCTTAGTTGCAAAACTTAATTGTAAACTTTTCAGATCATGATTATGATGTTTTAACTGACTGAAGTTATGATTACTGACTTTATATATTTGAATGTGTATTTCTTGATATCATTGGGACGATAGACTTGATATCATTACGTCATCGCGTAAAAGAACCGATGAACCGTTTTTTTTAACCGGTTCATTGAAACTAACTGTCCGAAAGAACCGGTTCGCGGAAAAGAACCGGACTTCCCATCACTACTCTTCAGAACATAGATTCATCCGCGCTGGAGCCGCGCCCACTCACAACCCACGCAAGCTAGATAATTCCGCACCCAGCAGCAATTCCAGGTTTTCAAACAGAGATGGCGACAAAGAGGCAAAATTTACGGACTGCAGCTTTAAACTGTGAATGTGCCTTTCAGCTAATATGGTGTTAATATGGTATGTTAAAAGTCTGACGAAAACCATTAATTTTTGCATTGTGAATGAGCGCGAATTTCCGCATAAACTAAAGTAATGCTGAGCTGTGTTGCTTAATGTACTATACTAAAGTGCACCGAAACACACTGAACACCAGTCATACGGTGTCAATTACAAGTTTTAAATTAAGGGACTACAGCAGTACTGCTACAACTTTTCCATCTCTTATTGTGCAGTACAACATCATTATTCCTAAACTACTGCATAGAGTAGCCTAATGCAATTTATTTCTAAAAGAGTCCCTGTTTCAGGAATGAATACCTTTTGCCTCCTTGCAGATGACATGCAGTGCTGTGAAAAAAAAGCACATTTTGCTTATTTATTTATTCATGATTAAATATCCACATCACTAGTTAACAATTAATCACAATGACCTCTTTCATAGCAAAAAATACATCTTAAATCGGGGGAGACATTAAATCCAATTTAGGACTGATGTCTGTAGTCTATTGTTGTCAGCATGCTCTTTTGGTGTGTTCTATGGGTAGTAAACACATTGTGAGTCCTAACAGACACACTAGGGGGCTCTTTTGCTGCCTAATTCCAGTGCTCTATCTACTTTTAAACATGCCGATTAGTCTACCAGTTACAGTTAGTCTCATACAGATGTGTGGCATGGCTATTCAAACAACATTCAAGGTCTATGTGTCAGGTGCAGTTTGTGGGAGGAATCATTGTTCCTGTGGTTACTGATTACCTCTAAACTCTCGACCCACTTTCTGCATCCTGTGTCAGTCTACTCAAGTCATTACCAGAATGCTGTGCCTTTTTTTACACAGAAGGACATCAGAGTCCTTTGAGTTTTTCTATCCTTAGACAAAATCAATCACACTCCTCCTCCTATTGATTACATTGTATTTAGTATGTGGCCTGTGATGACAAAGAGAAAAAGTTACACACATAATATACTGTATATTCTCTGCCTCCTGAATACAATACATTTTAAAAACATTCTTGTTTGCCAGCCCTTTTCTTCAAAAAAGGCAGACTCACTTAAAGAATAAAATACTGTCTGGAGAAATATTCATCGATGCAAAATCTTCACTTTGCTTCTCTATACAACCCAATCAAGAAGTGTTTTCCCCCTGCGGGGTATAAAGTGTGAAACGTGTATTTACAAAACTGCGTTGAGCGGACTGGGTGGGGGGGTTTGTGAGAAGTGTACCAACATAGTGAGAGTGTTCATTCATTATGGAAATGACAAAATAGAGCTGTCTGAAGGCATGAAAGGTTATGATCACTGTATCAAGAGTACAACACTGAAGTTTACTGGCATAGCCCCTAAACAGTACACACTAATCACAAAAGGAACTACAGACAGGACAGTTCGGCCAAGCGCAGCTGCTCTACACTAAACACACTTGCTCACACTCGTACAAACTGTATTTACAGACTGCTCTGTGAGATACAGGTACATGTTTTGCATTTTTGAGTAACTGGGACTCTTTTTGAGGGGATACAATTTAGGAAAATGTGCTCAATCAATCTTATCGCTCTCGTTGTAGTATAAAACATCCATCATAAAGTGCATTTCAAATGCTCATCAGCTAATTAGGATATTTGCATAATTTATTACTTCCTGGTCTCTGTTGTTCAGTTTTATGTGGGATTTTCTTTGATGTTACAAGCATTACCACCATCAATGATCTACCATGTCACAGTAAAATACCAGGAAAAAAATTTGCGATATGTGAAATGCATATTTCACAACATGTAGTGAATCAAACCCTGTATACAATCATAACCTTTTAACCAACAACAGCAAACTGTTTTTTTTTCTGCAGGCATTGTGCAGCTAAATATATCTAGAATAATACCTACTACCAATAAAGTGCCCACAAATTCACTGTTAAACAGTGTCACTAGTCAAGAGTTTCAAAAAAGCAGCCCTACAATAGTAGGTTTGGAGAGTTTAAAACTATGATATTCAACTACTTTGTGAATAATACATCGCTTGGTAAAAAAAACAAATAGCATTTATTACTATGTTTGATTAAATAGTAATTTCTAAACAACAATTTATCAATTGCCACTGAATAAATAATAGGGAAATGGGTTGTATTGCAATGCTTAATTAGGATACATTTACTGTTAATGTAATGGGCCCTCGCACATGCCGGTTCATATGTCCAGTGCAAAAGTTGTTTACTTTTTGGATCTGGAGATATAATACTTAACTGAAAGTGGGGATGATTTCGACCTTTGAGCAAATAATCATGACCTGTACACGGAGTGTAAACACATTTCCATTTTAACTTTCTGACATCTTTCTTTGCCCATCTATATTTCTTCCCATCCTGTCTGTTTAGTTTGCGTGCCACTTCCTTTTTCTCTTCCTGTATCATGCTGTAGTTTATGTGTGTCATGTGTTTTTGTGTCCTATTAGTTCACAAGATGCTTTGAGAGAAATGGAAAGTGGAAAATGTAATCAGATGGTTAGACATCATAATGATACAGCTCATCGTTACAGGAATTTACACAAACACGATACAGCAAACTCACTGAAGATGTAAATATGCTATTGTTTGAACAACCTATACGTTTCAAATGATTAAGTGCTCATTTAAATACTGAGGGAGAACGGTTTATAATTCATCTGAGGTGGACAGGGTCAGTGGAGCAAAGGGAGCAGATGGATGGATGGATGGTGGCTGATTCATCCCTTTTGACTGGGATTTAAGACAGCCCCATATACTAACAATACAGGGAGCGTAACTGCCATAATATGATGTAATAAGCTACATCTCAAGTGAGTTCTGGGGTTCCCATTGGAGAACATCTACTGCCAGATACAGACAGAAAAGAGGGTGTTACCTCTAAATTTAGGTTTGTCTAAAGGATAGCACAGGCTCGCAGGAAGATTAGAAGGAAACTCTGGTGTTATAGGCAAAATGCTATGGATTTAACAAAGATGACAATAAGAGCTACGCGGCTGGAGCATCCATTATCTCCAACAATCTGGAGACTTCATCCCATATCTAGCCTCAAACCAAACCCTGCATTCGAAAAGAAGTGCTGTAAATTAAGCCACAGCCTGGATCTTTCCCAAAACATGATCTCATGGGTGCTCTCCAAACAAAGAAAAAACGAAGAAAACTGTAAACAAGAGAAGAAGCTATTGAGAAGATAGGTTTTAAAGGGACAGGCTGTGTTGAAATCAGAGTCCTTCTCCTGCTAGTGTACTGGTTTGCACCCATCTCATAGCTGAGTGAATGGGACAAGCTGGGTTGAGTGTGAGGACATGGCGGACCCCAGAGAAACACTGAGAGAGGTGCTGCGATGTGGGTGGGGGTGGCTGCCACTCAGGGAGGACCAGGAGATGATTTTAGCGCCGTGGTCCGTGCGAGCTCGTGCGTTCTCGCGGAAGTTCAGCTTGTAGGACTCAATCTGGTGGCAAAGAAATGGAAAAGCTGTTAGGAAACAACATAAATAGCTGGATATTGTACATTGCCATTCAGAATAATTGACATTTCAAAAAAGAGTGAAACTATCTGTTTCCGATATAAACCAGGTTTGTTCAGTATTTAGTTCTTGAATTTGAACTGGGGTAGCAAACAGGATGTAGAATTTAAAGCCTTGTTTGAAAGTTTAAAAAGAAAAATAGCACAAGGTCGTTTTAGTTCATAGCCCTTATAGTCAGGGACAATGACAGAATGGTAAATAGATATGTTTGAAATTTGAATTTAGTTTATTCAGTTATTTTATCCTATTAAATAAATGAACTTTTGTGCACCAGGGTTTAAGAAGTCTACATTTCATTTGCATTAACCAGTAACGTTCTTTGAATTGTAATTCTATAAATTCTTCTTCTTGTCATTCCAAGTCAAATTTCAGTTCAGTTTCCTGTGGGCTGTGGCCAATTCAATTTGAAATCTGACTCGAGTTCTTGAATGCTAACATACACAATATATTATATCTCTTCAGGTTTCTCTTTTTAAGGAGTCATACATAAGGGCTGAATATGCCTAGTTTGCACTTACTTGTCCCAGGGATGCGCTTGTCCATGCCTTGGGAGTCCCGGGGCCCCTCTCCCAAAGAAGGTACGGGAGCAGGAGAGTTCTCTTTCAGCCCGTTCTCCTTTGCCCCGCTGCCTGCCTGCACAGGTGGAGAAACAGCAGGGGCAGATGGGCTTCCCTCAGATTTCTGCTGAACCCCCTCAGCCTGGAAACACAATGCAAAAGCAATGAGTTAAAGAATATGGTTACAGGAGACAAATATGCATTTATGTGTGTGTGTGTGTGTGTGTTTGTGTGGAAAATATATGGAAAACAAAAACCATTGTGTTATTCCTAAAAAGTTGTGTTAAGAGTTAACAAAATTGACATGAATACTTTCTATACTTTTTGAATTGTACAAGTACACAAGATTTATTATACAAGTACATTATAATTCAAAAGTTAGGGGTTGGTAAGATTTTTTTTCATGTTTTTGAAAAAAGTCTCTTATGTTCACCAAGGCTGAATTTATTTGATCAAAAATATAGTAAAACGGTAATATGGTGAAATATTATGACAATATAAAATAACATTTTATTTTATTTTAATATATTCTGATATATATATTTTAATGGCTGTTTTTTTTTTGCTGATTTGGTGCTCAAGAAACATTTCTTGTTGAAAACAACATACACTTAATATTTTTGTGGAAACCATGATACATTTTTTTTTCCAGAACTCAGCATTTTGATGAATAGAAAGTTAAAAAGAACAGGATTTATTTGAAACAAATCTTTTGTAACATAATAAATGTCTTTACTGTCATTTTTGATCAATCTAATAGAAGTATTCATTTATTCAGTCATTTATTTATTGTGCATATATTGTGACTTTGCAGAATTTGTACTATTTATATCTATATACAATCTATATTAAAACTACAACTTCTCAAATGTATCCTTTTAAAATGAATAAAAAAATTCTTCTTAAACAACACTACAGGAACTACTGTATTTCAAACTTTCTAGCATATTTGCATGCATTTTTCTCAACTGTTCAGGTTGATGTAGTGCTCTCACAGAACATTCATCCACTAGGAAATATCAAATATCATTATAAAAAAACCTTATAATGCTCAAAACCGCTAACAAACACACAAACTGGTGCTCAGCCATGTGAGATGCTCAGCCATATGAGATGTCATAAAGACCTAAAATAAAAAAGCACATTTCCATACGCCGAGGGGGTTGAATCTTACAAACTACATGCTTGCTTCTGAAAGACCTTCAGGAAAATGTAATATCCATAATGAAAGAGACACATTCCTAATATGTAATATCCTCTTAAGCTATTTACTACCTTGCCATTGCCACCTCCTGGTTCATGGCCTACATTGTCCATTGATCCCACTTTGGCCTTGACGTTAACATTATGGGATTCAGTCTTCACATCACCACCACCTGAGAGAGATCAATCATCATTCCCATGGCTATTTACTGCATGCACTCACAATGAGACTGCATTTACAGTAATAGGCAATATTAAAATTGATCCATCCCCTACCTGGCTTGTGCTTTATGTTGTCCTTGGATCCACATTTAGAGGCCACTTTGCTCAAGTCAACCTTTTTATTTAAAATCTGAACCTGCAAACCAGAAATAAAGAGCTGTTAGACTAAAGTGTCTGATTTGTTTCTGATAATGGATGTCCTAAGAGAAAAGAACATTTAAGACACATACTGTACATGTAACTCATTGCTGTTCTAAGCGTCATATGATGAAAGGGTTAGTTCACCCAAAAATGAAAATTCTGTCATTAATTACTCACCCTCACGTCGTTCCAAACCCGTAAGACCTTCCTTCATCTTCAGAACACAAATTGAGATATTTTTGATAAAATCTGAGAGCTTTCTGACCCTCCATAGACAGCAATGCAACTACCATGTAGTAGGCCCAGAAAGGTAGTAAGGACATAAGTTAAAAAAGTCAATTTGACATCAGTGGTTCAACCTTAATTTTAAGAAGCTACGAGAATCATTTTTGTGCACATAGAAAACAAAAATAATGACTTTATTCAATAATTTCTTCTCTTCCATGTTAGTTTTCGATGCGCATTCATGAGAGTACCACAACGCATGCTGCTGACAAAGGAGCCAGCGTTCTGATGTAGAACGTCCATCCCTCTTAGTTTATCGTCTGTATATTCTGGTTTGAATAAGTAAAGCTGGGCAAAAATTGCAAGTCATCCTCTCTGTTGAAATCTTGCCTCAGCAGCATCACACGCATGCGTGGTGGTACTCTCATAAACGTGCGTCGAAAACTGACACAAAAGAGAAAAAGTTGCTGAACAGTTGTTGAAAAGTCGTTTTTTTTCTTTGCACACAAAAAGTATTCTCGTAGCTTGGTAAAGTTAAGGATGAACCATTTTTGTCACATGGACTATTTTAACAAAGTCCAAAGATAAACGAAGGTCTTACGGGTTTGGAACAACATGAGGGTGAGTAATTAATGACAGAATTTGCATTTTTGGGTGAACTAACCCTTTAACACATTTTATATAAGAGAGTTGTTGAGCCAATATGACACTGTACACTTACATTTCCTCCACCAGGAACATGCTTGATATTGTCCTTGGAGCCACATCGAGAGGTGACATGACTGAAGTCCAGCTTTTTGTGGACTATCTGAACCTAAACACAGCACAACAGCACAAAGGAAACATTGTCAAAGGTTATTCTACAGTTACACATGCAAAACAGGCAGAAACAAACGCTATGAAGTCTATGAGTCTGTTAAACAATGTACTACTGTAAATTAAAAGTAAAGAGTAGCACGATGCCACTGAAGATACAAAATCATCATGTTCATGTCAAGTAATGTTGAATGAAGCTACTCATTTATTTGCAGCAAACAGTTATTTTCGCTCTTGTGTTTGAAGAAGTAAGTTGATTCCTGAACATTTTATGTGGCAGCCATATTAGATTCAAACGTTCATTGTCTGTTGTGCTGTTTGGTGCAGGATTTATTTGTGTGACTCACATATTTGTTTGGACAGAGTACCAGCAGGCCAGGAACACTCTGTCTGACTCAGAGTGTGTTTTTCACAGCCTAAAGCTCACTTTATTGCATTAATCTCAGGTAATGCTTAAACACTCGAGGGGCTACAGTCTAACTCTGTTTCATTTGACCTGCAGTGACAGACCACTCCAGGAAAAGCAAATGTAATTTGGATATAACTGCAATACTGCATAGTTTGAAGGCCGTGCCGAAAACTGATGAATTTCCTGAAAACAAAAACATGACCATGATGATTCTTTGAGCAGCAAAGAAACACCAGTAGCACTAAAGTCTACTTAGTTATTGACATGCAAGGCACTGTTAAAGGGGTCATATGATGCGATTTCAATTTTTCCTTTCTCTTTGGAGTGTTACAAGCTCTTGGTGCATAAAAAAGATCTGTAAAGTTGCAAAGACTAAAGTCTCAAATCCAAAGAGATATTCTTTATAAAAGTTAAGAGTCAGCCACACCTACCTAAAACGGCTCGTTCTAACGCCCTCACATATCTACGTCACGATGTGGGAAGATTCCATGGAACTGCATACATAATAGATAACAGATATATAGAGGCACAATTCCTCACACAGCTGACTTTGTGAAACAGCAGGAGGCTGTAGGTGATCTTGGGAGTGAAAACACAGCAATTTTAAATGCAATGAAAACAGTTTTTAACCATATGCCAATAACAGATGTTATAGAGGTTCTCAACCTTTTGACTCAAAGTCAATATTGTCTAATACAATATTCAAAGGCTCATATTCTGTATAATAACTATAATACATTATTACCGATATTAGTATTGATACATGTAAATAAATTAATTAACCACCAAAATACAATTCCAGTTAAAATCTTGAGTTTATATTTATTATTTTATAAATAATTTTTTACAAATTTTAAATCTTCCTGATGCCCCCTTTGGAAGTTTTCTGAGGCCCTCTGGTTGAGAACCACTGATATTATAATATAATAAATATAATACATATAATATAATATAATATAATATAATATGGAGACATTTTTGCCTTTATTATGTGTAAGAATATTTTGAAAATAGTTTAGTTTTTCATTTCATGCTATATTAAGTTCCCTAAGAATTGCCACAGTCTCCTGTGTGGAAAGCTGCAAGAAAGGTGATATATATAGCACATATTATATGCGCAGTGGGAAAGCATTTTTTTCCCCCTTAAAAGTAAAAGCAAAAGTGCAAGTATGACAATCCATTGTAAGGTAAGAAATTAATTGCACTATAGAGTGTTGATACTATTGCTGAGTCTGTACAACATGCAGTTAAGCTATTTTTAGATGGACGTGGTTAGTGCAGAAAACACTAACAAAAACACTATGACAATTATCTGGTAACAATGGTAAACCAGACTCTACGAATATTTCACAAAGAGTGGCACAATGATCATGGGTGAACTACCGAGAGACAGAATTGTGTGGTGTTAAATCCACAGAAGACATACACAGACCAGGCTGCATTGCTCTAAAAACATTCTCTAACACATGTATGTGGACATGTTTATATACAACAACAACGTGCCTGCATGTTTCCTTATAATTCAGAAAACCACTGTAACCTAATTTTAGTACACAAAGTTTTGTGAGTCTGGGTACACTTGTAAAAATGAGGGTTGCATAAGCAAGTTTCTACAAGATCTGATGATCTTTGATAAGAAAGTGAGAGTAAGAGCAGGAGAGAGAGTGATATTGAGGCAGTGAGTCTGGGAGATGTCATTGGGAGGGACTCACTTTGCCCTGGCTGGTCTTTGGCAGAGCATCGGTCTTGCCCTGGGCTGCAGAGACCTGAGGAGACAAGCACCCCTTTAGTCAGTGCAGTGCAGGGAGGAGGTACAGAAAGCCCAGGGTCGAAGGTCTCAGAGAAGGAAGTATAGGATGTACCACAATAAGTGATTCAGTATGCTAAGGTTACTTTGGAATTTGAAAGAATGAGCTGACGGTTTGTGTGTCATCAGTTGCACAGGGGGAAATAGTGTATTTAACTGTCTGCTCTATTAAATACAAAGCCAATTGAAACTTAAGGGATAGCTCACTCAACAATGACATTTCTGTCATCATTTACTCACTCTGTCATTCCAAACCGGTACAACTTTCTTTTTATAATATGGAACAGAAAAGTATACATTAAAAAGTGTTTTAATGTGTTTTTTATCCATACAATAAAAGTCAGTGCTGTTTTTATACTGGCAAAAACATTACTCAAAATATGTATTTATTTTATTTTTGTGTTGCACAGAGGACAGAAAGTCACACAGGTTTAGAACAATAAGATGATGAGTAAATGATGGCAAATTTCTCAGTTTTGAGTTAACTATTCATTTAAATATAAATGGAAAACCCAGAGGGCAAACATCCTTCATGGAGGGTTTCATAAAAAGACATTTTAATTTAAATGATGCATTGTGGCCTTTAGTTGACAGTCACCATCTGTATTACAGATGGTGTAAATATGGAAACAGCCAGTCCTAATGCATTGGGTTCTCTAGATCTTCCCTGAAAAGTGAAAACCCTTCGGGGAATCCTGTTACACAAGGTCTTTTTAATTTCAAAGAGATGGGGAAGGATAGGTGGCTGGGAGACGGCTATGGAAGACAGACAAATCAATTGTACAGATTCTGTAATAAAAAGTAGGAGCTTTGTATTCCACTGGCAGGTGGATGTCAATCACAGAACACTGTTGAAAGCCGTGCATCCATGAGCTCAGTCAAAACGGACAGTATCTAAAAGTTCAGGATCAATCAAATGAATAATGGCATTTACATCGACCAGCAGTGACATGAGATGTACGAATGAGAAGCAACTATAACAAAATAATAGTTTAATAGCAGCAATAGTGCAGAACATGAGCTTATGATCATATGTTGCCAAATAATGCATCAAATTAAATCTATGTTTGTAAAGAAATGAGGTTGAGTGCAGTATCTATGTGTGTCTCTAAATTCCATATTATTTCATTCCTTGCGCACATGCAAATTCTTCTGGTTTTCTTTTGACCAGTCAACTCACCTTGCCTCCTCCAGGCTGGTACTTCATGTTATCGGTGGAACCGATCTTGGAGCGTACGTTTTTTAGATCCGGCAGTGGTGCCTTGGTGGGCCTGACATTTCGGGGGGCTCGAGGTATAGGAGGCTTCTTCTCTAGGGGAGTCTGCTTGGGTACGGGGGGTTTGGTGATGCGGGAGGGACGAGGGGTCCCATTGGTGGCTGCTGTGCTGGTGGCAGAAGGTGGTGTGCGAGTTGTTCTTGGAGTTGTTTTAACTGCAAAACAAAATGCAAGTCACTGTAGCAGCAAACAGCACAATCCAGGAGGCTTAATACAGTATGCATGAGAGGTCACAAACAGATAAATCTTGTTATCATTGACCTCATGAATATTTCTTCTCCCTAAGCCACCAGAAAAGCGCCAAGCTCTCATCTAAGTGACAATGTTTTTGGCTGTTGTGTACACAGAGATGTAGAGAGGAGTTGAAGGTTCTATCAGTGTGATGTTTTCAGACAGGCCTCTGTGAGTAAGTCTATCCCTGACTTTGTCAGCAGCTTCAGATTTGGTGACTAACAAATGCACTAGTCAGTGTGTATTAGCTCAGAACTGCTGTGTTTTCAGGAAACAGTAGAGGTAAACTTCTCACCCTGCTCTTAAAGCCTCCATTAAATCAGCATTTAGTAACAGCTACAGACAAGTAAGCACCTTTATTTGCACATAGGCACCTCTGCTGACCGCTGGAAAGAAGATCTCTCCACTCTTAAATCAGTTGGACTGTTGGTTTATTTAACCAGAATTGATTTAATTTCATGTAATGGGTGTTATTCAAGTCTCTGCTAATTGAAATGTTTGTGGTATATTGGAAAAAAAGATATTTCGACACACAGTTTACACACTTTATATTATATCCAGTCACATAGCCTTAAATTATATAATGATTCATATATTGCACATAAAAATGGTGAGAACTTTTGAAATTCACAAGTTCCAATATGTCATAAAGAAACTTCTGAAAATTATAATGCATAGGAATTTATTAGTCTACTGGGAAATAAAGTTTTGTTTACAATGTACCACAATGCTACCATAAGCCAAGAAACAAGTAGTCACAGTCTAGTGCAAGTGCAACTGAAGCTAACAAGACTCTTAACTCATATTTTCAGCAATTAAACCAAAGCAAAATCTGATATTATACTGTATGTAAATACCATTACCAGAAGCTATAGTAAATTTAATATATATGTGTAATTTATAACTATGTCTATTTCTAACTGTATGTAAAATATTTCTCTGGATAAGAAAATTGACTCATTTTCACCTGGTGTTGTCTTTGCACTTGTCTTTTTCACCTCTCCTGCTTGGTTTTCAGTCTTTGTAGCTGTAAAAACACAGGATCAAATTAAATTATGTAAATTTAAATGTCATCACATGATTAGCCTGACTTTAAATCACTGAATGCATAACCTGAGCTCCTACAAACCTTAGTGCAATGAAAAGAATCAAAATGAAGATGTGAAGGCCAGAAGTGCAAAGCACTGTTGGATTGTACTGTTGTTTAGCAACTTGCCAATTGTTTGACTCATGAAACACCTTTACAAAATCTTGCAATAAACAAAGACTCAAAAAAAAAAGTTTAGAAAATTATTTATGATCGGGGACCTTTAAACTACGCATACAATTATAAAGACTGTAAGTCTATGATTTGTTTTTCATCAATATAAAATGTAATTAATCTACCCTGACTAAGTTCTGTATGGTGGAACAGCTCACCAGAGGAGCGTTGGGCAGAGGTGGTAGTTGGGGTGCTAGTAGTGCCGCTTTTAGAATTCGTAGCAGATGCAGCTTTAGCCTTTGGCACTGGAGGGCGACGCTGAGTTGCGGTCTCAGAAGACTGAAGAAAACAGTAAGACATCAGAATGCTGAACAACCTTGAATGAAAATGAGTTGAAGTCAGGAGGTTGATTAGATGAGTTACATACATAAAGGTGGTGTAATGTTTGAGGGTGATTGTTCAATTTAGGCTGAGTTTGACTACTTACAAATCTTGAAATGACATGACCCAGATGAACGATCTGATATTGGCCTTGATCAACTTTAAAGTGGATTGTGGTATATTGGGTATTGGTGTGGATCTTTGATATTGTCTGTGTTTGTAATGACTTTTTTTCTGTTTATTTGTTTATTTTTTTGTAGAGAGCAAACCTTGAATTTTCTAATGCAACATGTTACATAGCAGTCAATGAACTAAAATAAATCCTTTGACCCAAATTAAAATGTAAAGCATATTATAATATACTACTAGAATCTACTAGATTTTCTCTTTATAATAATAATAATAAAATCTCCCTTAACTAATGGACAAAAATTTCCCCTAAATGAAAAATCACCCATATAGAAAATGAGCAGAGAAGAGATGACACTAGATAAAAATGTGAGAATGAATTATAAATTCATAATCTACAAGCACCATGCATGAAAGTTGGAGAAAAAGTAATTTACAACCTGATCTGAAGAGAGAGGCATATAATTAGCCCTGTCAAATTAATTGATATCTGTACTTGCGAAATATTTAAAAGACAAAACAAAACTGCACCTTATATTTTATTCAGTAGCCTAAAAACATGCCTCTCTCTTGAGATTTTGCTGGTGATAGAACATCATGAGTTGACAATGACACAGAGGGCAAGCCATGGGCTGATTTTGAGGGCATCAGAGAAAGTCGCAAATGGTCTCCCCTGTGGATTGTAGGCCGGGTGCCAAACCACAGATGAGGAAAATGGCATTAACTCACCTTGGCCTTAGTCTCAAGAGTAGATGTGGTGGTGGGGGTTTTCTTGGTGCCAGCAGTGGGGGTTGTTGCCTTGGGCATAGGGTTTTTTTTATTGGCAGAGTTGGTGGTGGGAGAGGTGCGTTTGGTGGCACCTGCACTGTCTCCAGTGGACAGCGAGTTTGGTCTTGCTGAGCTTTGTTTGGTTGACCCAACTGAAGGCTATATGCATGTATTTGCAAAAAGCACAAAAGAAAAACTAGATGCAAACATGGGAGCATGATAAAATCAAGGTAGCAGAAATGGCTGTACAAATTGTTCATAAATCATAAGATGTGAGTTTGGGTAACTGATCTTTATTCTTTATAAAGATGGAAAAATGAGAGCAAACACCTCTTTTTCTCAAATGTGGCAGTTTAAATAATAATAAAAAAACATATCAAATGAATGAAGTCCCTTTGTTTTTCACTTACCTTGGCCTTACTATTTGGGCTGGTCACCTCCTTGCTCCCATTAGCTGTTGGAGACTTAGCAGGTCCTTTAGCAGCCATCGCATTCTTCTCAGCTTTGGCTGTCTTGTCCACTTTTTCTCCATCGTCTTTCTCCTTGTTTGTCTTCTCAGGTTTGTCTACTTTCTCAACCTTCTCGTTTTTCTCAACTTTATTATCCTGTTTTCCCTCTTTCTCAACTTTCTTCTCATCCTTGATGATTTGCTCACTCTTCTGAGTCTTATCCACACTGTCTGGTTTCTTTGGGATCCCATCTTTCTTGTCCAGGTGATCAATCTTCTCAATTTTCTCAGGCTTGTCTTGCTTCTCAATTATGTTGATGTTTTCCATCTTCGGAGCAGTTTCCACCTTCTCCATTTTCTCTTTGGCTGTCTTGTCTTCTTTTACTTTGAAAAGACAAAGTTGAAATTCTCATGTTTAATCAAGCAAATGTGGATCTACAATTATTATCTTTATCTTTATAATTGTCATAATGATCAATGTAAGTTTGTTCACACAAGGCTTTTGGTTGTAGCTTGCTGTAATATCCAAGATGTTTTGGAGACACAAATTAGCAGCAACTTACACTTTATGCCTCAGTCTCAGTACATTCTGACAATTAAGAATTAAAGTAGAAAAGCATGAGAGGCCATGGAAAGGGGCACAGAAAGTGACAGTGCCTTGAGCGGACAGACAGAAAAGAACATTGTCAGTCTGGATGCCTTATGTAACTTGGCACCATTCACCCCACAAAGTGAAAAATCAATGGCCAACGGAAGACCAAAACACCAAAAACCGTGTGTGAGAGAGAGAGACAGAAAAAAGGAAAAGAAAGGACAGAAAGAAAGAGCACACTGTTGCTGAGACAGGATGATAAATACTCATTGAAAGTTGTGACAGACCAACATAATGTCAAAAGCATCCAGTTTATTATTATTAGAGTTTTTTATTTTGGCAGTACTTTGGTAAAGTATATTTTTACTATATTTTTAATACTATGTCCTATTACTTTGATATATTGAAATGAAGAACAAACATAAGTCTGTTTCCTTTTGAATGAAATAAAATACGATTTTTAAGGTCTGTTTTGTCCTCTATACCAGCTAGATTTTTTCAGACACTTCCTAATAATATTATTGAGGAATAAAATGCTTTTAATGCTTGAAACATCATTAGTTAGAAAGTTATAAATTTGTTAACAGTTAGAAATGTCTTGAACATTTAGTATGTTTTCAATTTATCTTCTCCACGGACCCCCTAGGGTACCTTCAGAGACCCTGGATGAAAACCATAACTCTTCCTCTGAAGCTCTTCGCACAGTTACAGATGGATAAATGGATGGTAATATTCCAAAGTGTATACGTGTGAAACGTGGGCTCATCTCAGTACAGCAAAAGCAAATTATGACAAAAGGACATCCAAAGGTTACTCTGTTGATATTTTTGTGTATCCCTGCAGGCGGCCAGTGGCACACACAGCAAATCGTATCCATCTTTCTGTCAATCTCATAACCGTATCTATAACCTCTGCATCTGGCAATCTGTCTTCATCATGTGTGTTAATACACATATATGCACATACACAATAAAAACAGCACACCATCTGCTGGAGCATTTGAGGAAACTGTTCTAACAGTAAAACCTCTTTCAATAAACAAATCTTGAAAAGTGTTTTAAAATGTAGAAAATGCATACATGACAAGCAGATTAAATCCACATCTACGCTAAATAACAACCCTAAACCTTTCTCTTTTTATTTCACTCTATTAGCTGTGCTCAATATAATTTGCAAACGACAACCATCTATAACAGACCGTCTTTGAGAGAAGGTTTGCCAAAAATACAAAATACACTACCATTCAAATGCTTGGGGTCAGTAAGATTTAAAAAAAATAATGATAATACATTTATTCAGAAAGGACACATTAAAATGATAAAAAATGACAGTAAAGACTTTAACATTGTTACAAATGATTTCTATTTCAAATAAATGTTGTTCTTTTGAGCTGTATATTCATCAAAGCATCCTGAAAAAATGTACCATTTTCACAAAAAAAGTATTAGGCCATTTTGATAATAAAGAAATGTTTCTTGAGAACCAGTTTAGCATATTAGAATGATTTTCGAAGGATCATGTGACACTGATGACTGGATTAATGGCTTAGCCATCAAAGCAATTCATTACATTTTAAAATAGATTCAAATATAAAAATATTATTTTAAATTGTAATAATATTCACAATATTACTGTTTAATATTATTCAAAATTAAAAAAAAAAACTTTTGAATGGTAGTGTATGTTCAGCTCTGTCACACAGATAAATTGAATTACATCTGTTGATGCAAAGACACAAGTACACAAGTAATCCAGGAACCAGAGATCTAGAGATCCAACAGATCCCAATCCTGCATTGGCACACCACGGAGATCACAGCAGCTGATCTCACCTACCATTACAGACACCTTTAGGCTGAATGTCAGGGGATGAAACAGCATTTTCACTTCCCGATGGCTGTGGCGGCAACTGTATCCTTTCAGAACTCTGTGGCACACAAGCAGGCTGTTCTTTCTTTGCAGTAGGGGCTGATGGGATACTCATGGATGGCAGAAGACTCTGTTTGTCCTCCACGGTAAAGTATTTGACGGCGGTCTGGGGTGGCGGCACATCCTTGCCTGGATATTTATCGGGCAGCTGAAGGCTAGCAGGCACTGTCAGGTGGGTACTGTCTGACATTGTGCGCTCGACCATTCGCTTTTGTTGCACGGGGGGTGACATGGGTGGGCGTGTTTCCGTTTTGCCCTCAACTTCGCCCTCCACATAGCTGTCATTCACCACGCCGATCACGCAATAATTTGGCGCGAGGCCTGTTTTCGAGATGCTGGGGGGTGGATCCCAATCGCTGTCTGAGGATGTCAAGACGCCACTCCTCGGTGAAGGTCCTGATGTCACCCCATTGGTGGAAAGGTCTTTCCCTGGAGACAGGGGTGATGGAGAGGATGAGACGCTTGTGGGACTTTCTGCTGCACTGCCCAAATTCTTCCCACCCCTGCTGCTCTGGTGACTGGTTACCCGTTGGTCCACCTCCTGGCTGAGTGCTGTCGACTTGGTGAAAAGGTCCTGCTTGTCGTCCTCTAACAGTCTGGAGGATTGCAGACCGCCTGGCTGCCCCTGCTGCCAGTTCCAGCCCTTGGCAGCTGTTGACGATGCCAAGCCTGGCATGGAGGGTGGCACTGAGCACAGATCTCTGCACTCTGGGCGCTGGGATGACATCGTTACAGTCCTTGTCTCTCTAGATATATTTGTTCTGTATCAAGGTGTCTATCCGTCAGTAAACAGAATTGATTTAGATGAGTAAGTCTACTGTAAGTCTACAGCGCTGGTCTCTAAACCTCCCTCAACGCCGAGGATGAGATGACTCTGCGTCTCTCTCCCAAATCCCCCTCCTCTCTCTCGTTCTCTCTCTCACCCTAATTCTGTCCGCACATTCCTTCCAAGTCTTCGATCACGTGATCACGCAGGCTGCGTCCTTATTGGATGCTCCGCACTGAAAACCCTTGCTTTTAGCATCCAGCGTGTTTATAAATACCCCTTTCTCTCTCTCACTCACACATTGTCTTGTTTGGTTCTCAGAATGTTCTAGCAGACGCAAGTGTGCACCTTTACCATTAGCGGAGGATGTCATCATTGCCTGGTTCTCAGGTGCTGTGTCCCTCACTCAACACAATAACATCAGTATCAATCACATTTAGAGCAATCACCTGAACCATTATATTCCTCCGTCTCTCACGTACGAGGTTGATGGAAGTGTGACCTCTTTTGTGTACTGTGCCTCTTATACTGTGCCTGAGTTCTTATGAGAGTGTATTAAAGGTGCAGTTCACCCAAAAATGAGAAGTCTATCATCATTTACTCACCCTTGTGTTTTAGTAAACCTGTTGGACTTTCTTTCTCATGTGGAAAAAAAGAAGATATTCTGATGCTCCAACTGTCCCATTTAATGAACGTCTTTGGAGTACAAAACTACATTGGATGCCACTGACTTTCTTTGTAAGGACAAAAATATACAAATTCTTCAGAATATCTTACTTTGTGTTCCACAGCAGAAAGAAGTCATTCAATTTTGGAATGTCAGGATTTGACCAGGAATTCAAGCATGTCACCACAGCGAGGATCCAGAATGCATGCACAAACCAGCAAATGCAATCATATTTCCTGCCTAAATGTGACTGTGCCAATGCCTTAGTTGATGTTTTTATGCAGTGGTTTTTAAATGTTGGTTGGTGACCCAAAATTGGTCTGTTCTAATAGGATTGCGTACAGCAGAGAAAAACAATTGTAAATGCAAATAATTTAATGGAACTACATCCACTCCATCAAAAACAAAAAAGAGGAGAAAACACTCTTTTTTGTTCATGATTTCAAAAGGTATCCAATCACACTTCAAAGTATTACCAGTCAAGCCAGTAAAACTAGACCCATGCCAATGTAGACAGGTAGCAGACATGTCCTCATCCTTAAACACTATGAACAACACAAGGCAAAAGAAAATGCGACCCAGAATACCCATATGTTGCTAAGGATTAACATGTTTTGTGCAGATCACAATGTGATTGTGGCTCTTGAGGGCAAAAAAAACATATTTTCTTACACTCAAACAGATAAATCAGATGTCAGACTCTAGCCCTTCAAAAAATAAAAAATAAAAAATAAAAATCCTTTCCTTCCAGCCATTAGACACGTCAGTCCCATTCCAGTTCAGTCATGTCCTCTCACTGTCTTCTGTCTTTGAGAAATGAAGTTTTTATGGTGACACACACACCTGATATCATGCAAGACAATTATTCATGAAAAAAGGGGGAAAAAATCATTAAACATAAACAGGTTGAGCGACATAAATCACTTCCACAATCGGTCACAACAGCAGGGTTCTGCATTATTCAGCACTTTACAGTATGTATCTGCACAGAAATAGCACATATATTTAAACCTCTATATTAGGTAACCTACTAGACCAGTTAATTACAGGCATCCTAACATGAAATATGTGAGCAGTAAAAACCATGGTTTTAAAATTATATCAGGGGCACCACAAAACCTGTATTACATATTACTTTTCTGGCTCCCACTGCATACGCCCTTCCAGACTTGAGCAGAGGCATGTGATGTCGTAATTCATGTGTAGTCTGATTGGCTCAGGCACCTTAATTAGAGTGA